GCCATCAGTCACCCCCGCTCCCCTCCCTTCCTTCCCTCTTCCCTGCTGCCTTCCCCTCTGCTGGCTGTTGGGGGAGGCGGGGGCTGGTTCTGGCCCCAGTCCCCTGCTGCTATGGTGGTGCTCCACCATGTGGGGCAGGGTGAGGCTGGCACTGAGCAGCCAGCACCCAGTGCCCCTGCCGCCTCCAAGGTGGGGGCCTCCCCTCCTCCATCCCCTCTGTCATGGCAGTGCTCCGGTCCCTGTCATCCCCCTCTGCTTACAAGGCGCTGGGGGGTGGGGGGCGGGGAGTTGAGGCCAGTCTCCGCTTCGGCCCCTCAGGGCCCGCTGTCATGGCAGCACTCTGCCATGTGTCTCTGTCTGTCCAGAGCACTCTGGCTGCCGAGGCAATCGGAGTATAAATAAAATGTTACGGACAGACAGACTAAGGATTTTATATTATTAGAATAAGTTAACAAGGTTCATGACAGACAGTGGAAGCAATTTTTTAAGCTATTGTTGAACACTTTATAAATGGCAAATGTCATAGGTCATCTACACTTTTGATCTTTTATTTGCCCTTCATTATGGGGGATTTGTTTGTGTTTAAAAAAAAAAATACATTGTTTTAAAAGCATTTGTAAATTATGTGAAACAGATGCTTTTCTAAAGTGCTCTATTCTGTCTGAAGTTCTCTTTCTAGAGATGCACCCATGGTTTCTCGAAAGAAACCGTGTCAAACCTACCAAACGGAGGGGCGCGGTCCGCTTCTGTAGAGCAGATGTCCTTCTCGTGAGCCAGCCTACCGTATGTGGCAGAATAGATGTTAATGAACTTTGACTCGTGACAGTGGAGTTTCAGCTCTTGGTTTTCACATGCAGATTTGGTTTTATATTCAGCTATAACAGAAGCAAACAACAATGCTACCTTAAGAGAGAATTTACTCAGTTGGACTGTTAATGGCTAAAAGCATAACAAAAACCCCCACTCATGCAAGCTCTACCCTTAATGAATCATGGCACACCTACATGGGACACAACCAAGAGTAGACAGGAAATCCTACAGAGCATTCCCTCCATTCAAGATCTCCTGTCCCCCTTTTTAAACAAATAAAAATGTAACTCCTTCCCCGTCTCTTCTCCCAGTGCAGCACCCTTTACGTTGATTCCTAATTTTTTTGCCTGCCTTTATAATAATGTTCAGAGAGGTAAATCTCATCCCTTGTTGTCTTGCCTGTGGGCACCGTCACATTCTGCACTCACTTCGAATGTCTGCTTCAGTGCACCCTGCCTCAACCCTTTGCATCTCTGGGTGCCACAGCATATAGCTGGAGCGAGTGCCAAGCTGTGCAATGGCACAAGAATGGTTAGTTTGCTTAGGCTAAATGCTTCTCTCTGCAATAGCCCTTTAACTCCACTGAGGTCTGTGTTTTTACAGGTGTGATTTCGGCTTGGTCCATGCCGAAAAGCTTAGCTGGCATAACTGTGTCATTTGGGGGGGGGGAGATATTGCATCCCCCCTGCCTCCCCAACTGAGAAACAATGCCAGCAAAAATGCTGACATAAATGTAGTTATACCAGCAAAAATGTCCTTTTGCAGGTATTATTTACTCCAGTGGTTCTCAACCTTTTGTACCTTCCATACCACCTACTGATCAACATGGCAAACGAACTTCTGGCCTGAACAGGCAAAGATGCCTCCAACCCACCGAGCGGGGGGACAGGCCAAACTCAAAACACGGTACCCGCATACCCGCTTCCTGTGTCTGATATACCCCCAGGGGTATATGTACCATAGGTTGAGAAACACTGGTTTATTCCATTCATAAAATGCATTTAAGTTGGACAGGCCAAAGTAGTCTTTCACTGCAATAAGCTGTCTCTCCTCTAGAGCAGTTCTCCCTAACCCTCTCCACTCATACAGCATATACCAGCAGCACTGAGCATAGACAAGCCTTGGATCAGCGTTCAACCTATCCTGTTTAATTTCTTTTATGAGATGTGGCAGAATTAGGAAAGAGATGAGAAGGAGCAAAAGGAACCATTATTATTATTATCTGCCATGGTATTGACTAAAAGGGAGACGTTGATGTGAAGTACTGAGCTGGGAATGGAGACTTGGAAACTGTGTATCTATTGACAAGATAAACTTTGCTGTCCCACTAGAAATATAATAGAAATAATCAAAAACAGGTTTTCCGGGGACTCTTCTCCTGTTCCATCCATTCTAGCTTTACAGCAATTACAGTTAGAGAGTGTCAACGCAAAATATTTTAAAATTTGACTAGCTGTTGATTTTGGGTACTTTTATACATGCTGCTGCAAAAGTGAAGAGCAAGACAAGAACAATAGTTGTTAGGCCTGTACAAATAGGGAAGTATTTGATTCAGAGGACAGTGATTCAATTTGATGATTCAAATCACTGTCCCCATTCAATTCAGCCAAATCAGATTCGGCGATTCAGTGCTGATTCGGAGATTCAGGTCAGCTGGGGAGAGGTAGGTATAGCTGGGTGGCTGCAGGTTCTCCCACAGCTCTTATGGCTGTGCTGGTCTCTCCCCAGGTGGGGGAAGCCATGGGAGAAGCCCCCATGGCTGCCCTGCCAGGCCCCAGCCTAGTCCCGGCACAGCCTCCCATGCAGCCCCTGCTCCCTAATCATCCACCCTCCCTGCAGCAGTCCGGGAATCAAAAAAAGTCCTGCACCCACTGGCTCTGGCAGAGGGGATCAGGGCCTCTGGGGCCTTGTGGCAGAGCCCCCCCATACAGCACAGGACAATGGGGATTGCCCCCCTCCCCCTCCCCCCGCCTGGCACCCCAGCAGCTGCCCCATGGCGCAGGTGCCACATACTGTCTAGGAGCTGGGGTGGCTCCATGTGTCAGCCAGAGCCCAGCAGCGCTTGGCCCCAGCGGTCTCAGCTCCCAGGCAGCATGCAGTGCCCTGCCAAGCTGTGCTGCACCTGTGCCATGGGGTACCTACCATATCAGTGCCAGGCAGGGGGGTGATCCCTGCTGTTCCGCACTGCGTGGAAGGGCTCTGCCACAAGCCCCCAGAGGCCCTGATCCTGCTGCCAAAGTCATTGAGTGCAGGGCTTTTTTTAATGTGCCAGGACAAGACTGGGGCAAGCGGGAGATGGGGCCAGGCAGGGCAGCCATGGGGGCTTCTCCCGCAGCTCCCAATGCCCGGGGAGAGGCAGGCACAGCTGGAGGAGCCGCAGAGAACCTGCAGCCACCCGGCTGTGCCTGCCTCTCCCCAGCGGATCTGAATCTCCGAATGTTTTCCGAATCAAGTCAGAGGCTTCAAATTAGATTCAGACCTTTTTAATGGGTTTCCCGACTTGATTTGGATTTGGAGATTTGGCTGCCGAATTGGGCCAAATCTCCTCTGAATCGAATTGGTGATCGAAGCTTCGCACAGCCCTAATAATTGTTCTGTGACCTGGCAGACTAACAGGTCTGTTCTGTGGACAGTGTCTTGTACAAGAGGGCCCTGGTCCATGACTCAGGCTCCTAGGTGCTATCACACCACAAATAATAACAGCATAAGCTGGTGTAATTAGGACAAGACAACATCATTGCCCAGGACAAAAATACAGTGAAGACTTCTATGGGTATGTTACACTAACAGAGAAAATGTAACGTTCCTAATGAGATGAAAAACTTTAGTCTACTGAAATCTAAAGGTTTTGTGGCACTGCCTCAGCTTGTGCCTAAATGTAATGGGACTGACACCTGTGAATAGAGGCAGATCCAGAGGGGGTGTAGTGTAGTGGCATGGCTGCACCACCTTTATGGTCTGAACTGCAAGGTTGGAACCTCTCTGGGTATGTTTTTAAAGTCCCTAAAGCAGGTGAGAAATCCCCCCCTTTCTGCTTTGTGCTCAGAACCATGTATCCTCTCTTCCCTTTTCCCCGCTCATCTGCTGCTGCTGCATTCCCTCTGTCCCAGAGGTGAGGGAACCACCCCAGTCAATCTCAGGTGGGACAGTGACAGTGATAGCAGGGATGGGCAGAAGAGTGGGTTCCCATGCCCTGCCTGATCCCCTCAGGAGCTGGCAGGGGAGGGGGAACCCCTCTACACATTGCCACTGTTACTGCCGCTGTCCCAGCTGAGCCCAGCCCTCACACAGTTTGCCTGAAGCAGGCAGGAGCAGCACTCAGGCTTCCCCCACCCCTAGACAGTGAGCTATGGAAGGGGAGAAGAGAACATGCCTCTTAGAACAGAGGGGAAGGGAGGGATTCTTAGCTGCTTTGGGGACTTTAAAAAGATTATGGAGGCATTTGCAGGGGCAGTATGCCTGCACTGCTGGGGTTAGGGGAAGTAGCTGGAAGCTGGGGTTCAACCAGTCCTGCAGCATGGGTTGCTGCCCCTGGACCTCTGTCAGATCCTGGATCTGCCCCTGTCTGTGCATAAGGGCTTTCCTGAATAGGGATCTTTTCTAGAATTGGGACTAAGTATGTTAATGATGTGCTTACAATATAAAGCACTGTCTGTCTGTCAGGATAGACTAGACTGTTTACCCCAACCTTTAAACCTTTTATTTAATTCTGAAGACAGAGCTGTCTATTAAATACACTAATTGCTAGTTATTGTAAAAGTCAAATCACAAAGAGAATCATATATATAAAATATCTAATTTTTAATACCTGAAAAATATCAAGTGGCTTCAGTTTTTTTTAAGAAAATCCCAGTCCATTTACCAATCTTTGTTATTTCTGTAAGCTGCAATGGGAGGAGCAGAGGATGGAGGTTTCTGGGCATGCCCTGTTTACCTTCCCCTCAGCATCCACACTGGGATAGTTGTGCCTACAGTCTGACCCAGTAAATTTCAGTCCTTATGTTCTCATGACCAAGAAAATGAAAAAGGTTTTTAATGACTTGGACTTAACTACAATATCCAAGATACACCCAAAATGAGTACTGAAGAAGTCAAAATGAGATTTCAGTACTAGAAAGTAAGCTGCAGATACAGACTGGCCATTGGTCCAGCAATTCCTGGATGATGGAGCTCAATGTGTCAGTGGTCTCTCAAAGCTAGCAATTGCTTCTCCAATTCAAACTTCTTGTCTGCTACTTTGAGGCCCGACACAACTCTGCCCCCATCTGCTTTGCTGCCTCACTCACATTCTAGTGACACCAGTCTCAATGCCCAGTATCCAACTGTCTCCCTTGTTACTTCCACGCTGCTTCTTCTAAGCACAGGATGTCCTCTTTGAACTCCCTTGCAAATCCATTCCCTTTACATAAGTCCCGTTTTTGTTAAGCAAGAAATTAGCTGACAAATAAAGGCTGCATATAAAGGGAGTTGGGACTTGCTCGTATTTCATTAGGCAACAGTTAAAATCTTGATTATGTGCCATCCTATTTCCACCATTTTTATGTCTCCCTCACATTTGTAGTATCTCTGCCTTTTTTGAGGTAGGAGCAGTCCTTTGATAAATGTTTTTTTGACACTTAACCACATTTTGCATACCACTGTAACACAGTGAATTGTGCATACTTATCCTCAAGTTGCTGCTGGGCACAGAGGCTAGTGCTGAAAGCACTTCAATAGGTTCTGAGGTTTGGTTCTAGTTCTCAAGGCATTTTCACCAACTTATCACCATGACACCTAACCCCTCAGTATTCAGATAGTTAATCCAAGCTGTATTTTGTTCTCCATTCCTCTTTTTCTGTGAAAATGTTAGGATTTCCCTCTTTAAAATACTACCTCTTCCAATTTTTTTTAAACTTATGTCTTAGATTCTGACAAATTGCACCAGTGGTTAAGTCAGCAGCAGGCGCACACACTCATATTGTACACAAGATGAAGAGCTGAGATAAAGTACAAAAAAACAGTTTGCTATTAATCTTAAGAGCTTTGGAACTTCATCTGGATTTATGCAAAGCTTTGTGCAGTGGCATTCTAACCAAAACAAATAATGAAATGCACACGAAAATGCACTTGCCTGTTGTGGAAATTACTTACTAGGTTTGCATTTAAAGGAGACAAGGAGGTATTTAGTGGTTCCTGGACATAGATCAGGTCCAAAAACCCGACTATTGACAAGGAGTTGGCAGGCTCTCTGGTTTTGGCATTCATCCAGTACTTTCTAGAACAATGGGCAAAAAGGATAGTCTTGAAAACAAGATATGAGGCTATACAGCAACCAAAGCTTAGTTGTATTTTGTTTTATACATAAGAAAAATCACTTGCTGGCATTGGACTTTTGTCATAAGTATATTAAGGACAGTGTATGATAGGTGTGAAGAAGCCATGTATATGCTGGGCTTCAAACTCTAGCTGAAAATCTCACATGAATTCATTTTAAGCAGTTCAAATCAAGGACCTGATTGAATCAGGCATGTGCCCAGCTTTAAGCATATAAGCAGACCCATTGACTTCAATAGGTACTGCTCATGTCTTTGGATTTATGCAAATGCGAAACACCTTTCTGAACAAGAACTTAAATCAGGTTCAAATTTTACCTGGTTAGCTACCATAGATGTGGTCAAACTACTTTAAGAGAGTGTGTGTGTGTATATATCCATCTCCAAATCTTTATCTACACCAGATTTTTCCCTAATAATACCCCAACCCCGTTGTTTCTGTTGCTGTTGTTTCATCAGTAGTTGCAAATAGGGTAGGAATACCACTGATGTTCTAGTAGTTGTTATTGCCACAATAGTCCAGGAAATATGCTAGAGGCAAGAATTCTTGTGGGTGATATATTTTATTGGACCTACTGCATGGTTAGGATGGTCATAAGCAGGCCTTTGGGTATCACAGTATCCTTTCTCAGGCCTCTGGGATAGGCCAATGTTATAACTATGCTGTTATCTGAGTTAGAATGGACTCATTTGTAACACCAGCAGCCCATCTACACAAGTGTTCCCACTTTGCTACTACTGCTGGAGCAAATCAGTAACTGCAGTGGTTGGAAAGTAGTATAGATGCTGACAAAAGTTATTTTAATGTAGTTCTATAAGCCAAATATTCTGTGAAAACAGTTCAGATGAAACTATATATTAATCAAGTTCAAATTTGGTTTTCAAATATGGTCAAAAACTCAATTTTTAAGCTCTTCTCCCAAGCATTATTTCTGAGTAATCTCTGTTACCCCTGTGCCTCTAGAAAACAGTAATAATGAGATCACCAATCTCTAGATCACCAATTATAATCTAGCCCAAGTCAAGTAAATGCCAGTGTAAATCATGTGGGCCCTTTCTGTCCAATTTCTAGTCCAAAGGAGCCAAATTCATCCTTGGTGCCACTGTACTGACCTTAGTGGAGTAACAGCAGGGATGAAATTGAAGTCAAATATCCAAATGACAGAGGTACCACCATAATTAGCACTGGCTGGGATTCTTGTTTCCAGACTCAGAAGAGCTGCCAGGGACTGAAAAATCCTCTCCTTCCTGCAACCACTACCAGCACAGTCATCTTATAACACTATGGCTCTTTTCATTCCTCTTTGATGTAGAAAGAGAACTTTAAAATGCAACAGTTTTCATGAACATTACATTAATATGGAACTGACTGAAAGGGAAGAAACACAGAGAATATAACACTTGGGTTTTTTTTAAAAAACATTGGTAATAAAACCTAAAAATACTTCACTGGATTCAGTCAGAACAGCTTCATCTAGGCCCCAGCAACTATTGAGTTTAGTGAGAGTTGTGTGTACTAACACCTGTGCTGACTCCTCTGTTGATACTGGGTATCTCTTTTTTTTTTTTTTTTTTTGCAGAGGGCACTCACTGATTCTACCAGGCTAAAATGTACTGTAAGCATTCATCATCATTAGACAGGGTCAGGTGATTAACATAGAGGGGGCAGATCTAGCCTGTCATTACCCTTTCAGTAGCAGGCTACGGTATAAAGTGCCCACTCTGCTTCCTCCTTTCCGTAAGATAATAGCATCGTGATTATGCAGAACTCCTCCTCCATTTCAAAGGGAGGGAGAGAATGAGATCATCAGAGTTCTTTTCCAAGAACTGAGTTTACAGTGTGTGTCTATTCTCTTCGACAGTCGGAGCTCTCTGGGATTCAAAGCCAGGCACTTTCATAGCTTACATATTTGCAGTTTTGTTAGAATAAGGACATGCCTTTGATCAATGAAAAGGAAAGCATCTGTGAAAATTTATACTATTTTAAAGTGTATTTGTTACCTGGCTTGTGTAGTATGTTCAAGAAAACCTGCCCCTGGAAACCTCAGAGAGACCCTGAAGATTCAAGAACCCAAGGAAATCCTTGGCATCACTCCATTCATCTGACCCTACTTTTCTGTAATGGACAGCTGTACTTTCACATGACCTAGAGGTCATTCATGGAATAACTTTAGATGCTAGCTGCAGTACTGCATGTACAAGCCACTTGTAAACCCCTCTGTCACAGCACTGGTAAAGGGTACTGTACTACATGGCTCAATAGTGCTCTTTAACCTAGCAATCATGGGAGTGGAGATTTATATTGCCATGCCAACAGGCATAGCTATCAGCACTAGGACCCTGATTTATCCAAGCATCCCTAGCCTGTTAAAGCACTTAACTTTAAGCACATGTTCAAATCCTATTGACTTCCCATCAGCAATGCCTTGCTGAATCAGAGCCTAATGTTAGACTAGTTTGCCATGATGAATAAAGCTTTTGACAGCATTGTCAGATAGGACTCCCAGGGCTCATTTGAAAGATTCCCTTGACAGGATGTAATACTTTATGAACTGTAAGTTAGGGTAACCATTCTTTAATATACATGTGAAGCAACCCTTAGTATAGTAATAATTTTGGTATTCCTTATGATAAAATACGTTGCCCTGGCCTGATGGTAGGTTCATGATGGTGATCTGGTTCAAGGCCTGTTATCAGAAGCTCTTAATAAGCAATGTTATGTTAACACGCGGGCATGCTGCCATGTGTGTCTATGGACTTACACCAAAGATAAACTTGGTTCTGTACATCCAGCTGCCAGGGTTAAGAAGTTACAGGCTCTTGTGATTGAATAAGATTGTTTGTTCAGCCCAGTGCTCCTTGGCCAGAAGAACAGTGGTTATGGTAGACAGTTTTAAGAATATAAAATATTGAGTGAAAAAATAGGTATCTTATGGAGTAAAAAGAACCCAGAGAATGTTTTTCCAGCCTATAGGTATACTGAAACTGTGAGATGTGAATGTGTTGAATCTGCATATGTGAATCTAAAGTTACCGTTTGTTGCACCTGCGAATGCCAATGCCGGTGTAGTTTTACTTTGTTTCCAATATATTCTGTGCCTGCCAGTCTGGCAGCATTCTTTCCCACACTTGTGGCTGGTGTCATTTATTTATGAAAGTCCGGGGCAAACATAACAGAAACCTATTTGACTGGTATTTCTGCTGGCCTATTTAGTTCTTCAAAGTATAGCACTTAGTGTTGTGTGCCAGCCTGAAACCCTGTTCAATCTACTTAGCATCATACACGGTTGGAACACACTTGGGTCACACAACCAAAAATCTTCTCCAAAAACATTCTAGACACACAAAACACCTCCAGTATGCAATACCTGCAAGGTGGTAGTTGCCACACAGCTTAAAGGGTCTTTCCTCGTGGTTTCAGACTGCTGTGTACTACACATTTGGTAATCTTGCCCATAAAATGCTGACTGGACACTTATGGTTGAATGTCGAGGACACTGCAGACTCAAGTGATCCCCATCGCAGGCATAGACAGTGTGATTCTGCAGAAGCCTGGTTAGGTAACCTAGAAAATATTTAGCTGTATTACAATTAGTACAGGAAATGACAAGCTCATTAGATAATGTGAAAACCATGATCCTTCTCTGGAAAGGGCATGTAAGCAGAACTGTAAACATGGCCTTCAGCTATACCACATGATTCTCTGAGCTTATTAACTCTTACAAGCTTGTCAGAACCAGACCTGAAAAAGGTCTGTATGCTTCACGTAATGGAACTGGTGATCCAGTAGGTGGCACTCTGACTGCTGAATCAGAATGCTCCAGTCAGGGCACTGTGCTACTGGGGGATGTTGGGATGAATGGAGGCCTTGGCAACTGGTGGTCAGTTTCCCAGGATGAAGAAGAATAATGCTTTGGTTTTGTGACTGATTGCCCCTGAAATTTTAACTCGATAAAGCGTTCTAACTAAAGTACAGTGTTACTGGGCCTAATTAGACAGTTCCTGTGCTTTAATGACATGGTGGATAACAAGATTCTCTGTGTACAATTTAGATGTTATTTTCTAAAGTACTCTGGGATCCTTCCAGATGAAAGACGCTAAATAAATGTTATGCGTCGTTAAAAAAAGGTGGATAGTCATAATTGCTAAACTAATACATATGGAGTTTTGTGTTTACTGCCGTTAGTGGCATGTTAGTAATCAAGCACAGCCAGAGATGGAAATCCATAGGCCAGTGTCATAACAGTTTCAACTATCTATCTGATAGTGAGTTATTTGCATGATGTTTTAAAAAGATGCCTACTCTGGGATTTTTAAATGTTACACATCACATACATGAAATTTAATACATTCCTTGTTCAGCACTATAAGTTCCCTGACTACTTTT